AAGACAGCACAAAACCTAGGGTCTTTTTGACTGTGCTGTGTATTTTGCTGAACCAAAGGTTAAGATTTCAGTATCTTGCTGGCTGCTGAATGTTAATGCCAGTGGGATTCCCATGTTTCCTGGGCCGCTCATGTGAAAGCCAGGGCCTTAAGTGAGACGACGATGGTGCTGAAACAGAGGAGTTGGAGAAAGCCAACTGCTAAAACTCCCTAGTATGCTCTCTACTGCACCCTGCTTTCATGAGGAAGACAAATGCCCTGCGACTCAGCTCTCATCGCTCATGGACAATCAGGATGCAAGCACAATACAATGTGGAGGTTAAAATACATAAACAAAAAGAAAAGCAAAGGGCTAATACTTAGAGGAAAATGCAGGAATTCTTTGAGTTGGATCATCAAAAATCAGAGGACTAACGGATATAGATTTTGGACATCTTAGACCACAGAGGGAAGAGCATCATTTTTGGATAAGGCCAAATTTCTAGTTATGATATGGTTAACTCTTCGGCACATAATGTAACAGCTCAAGATACTGACCACAAAATGGCAGGCTAGGCTGGCCAGTGAAACCTGGACTGAATGCTAAATTCAGCTAGGTAACCATGAAAAACCAGAAAACCCTTGGCACAAAGTGGGGGCTATCAGTGCTACCGGGGCTCCAAGAGGCTCAACCTTCCTGCAGACACCTTCACTGTACCCCTGATGGGATCCACCACGCGTGCTTTGCCAGAGAGGGCACACATGTGAGCAAAGCACTGGAATCTTTCAGAAGTGCTTTCGTGACTGTCTTCACCAAAGTGAGATGCTCGTGGAAGGGACTAGCTTCAAAATGGGATTCTCATCCTTCCTTGGGATGGAAGGAGCCTCAGAGGCCATAGTCACCAGCGCTTAGACATTTCTAGTTGTGGATAAGTCATTGTGAAGCTCCCAACAATGGAAATGGGAGGCAGCCAGTACAGGTGAACTAAGGGGGCCTGACTACACTGCCAAGCTAGAGAAAGGGTCCCTCTGCATCCAACTGCCAGCGTGAGTCAGTTCATGACCTGGAACCCTTCAATGTTAGGCATGTGTAAGGAAGAACTTCACATAACATCAACACTCATATACCATGAACTTCCTCTTCTTCTTCTCTTAAGAATCTACACCCATTTATCATGGTAACTCCACTGGGTAAAGGAAAATACACCTTTGGGGATCTACTCGTTCCAGCCTTGAGCTACCTAATTCCTGGGAACCCAGAATGCCACTATTTTATGCTAGTTAGAATGGAGCCTTTGTAGGCTGGGTGATGGACAGCTATCTACAAGTGGCAGAATACTCACACTGACTGGTCTCTTAAGCCAATGGATAAGAAGGACCATTAAAATAGCAAGAGCAAATGCAAGCTGGAGCAGTAATCTCTTTACCAAAAGGCTAAGCTGAGTTACAGAGGTCCTAAGTCTCTTGGTGAGTTACAGAGGTCCTAAGTGCTACAGAAGATTACAAGTTGCAGGATAATGAGACAGTACATTTATATGTGTGAGTTTAGTGATGGTGTGAAGCAAGTGCTCAGTGATTACTAGTATTAGCTATTCTGATGCTTTCTATCACCACCTCCCCACATGCAAACTACAAAAGAGACTAGCACAAGAGACCGACAGTGTTTAAGGATGTCAGTGGATTATAATATATGAATCATGTAGAACTGCTGATTTGCAGGTGCTTTTCCAGATGCACTCTCCTTTCCTACAGATTAACATAACTGCTGGTACCTGGAATATAGCTATTGATTAATAGCTATATTTTTTTCCTTTATGGTGCACAAAGACTACATGAAGCAGTTCCCATTCTCATGGCAGGAGCAGCCTCAGTGATAAATTATCTTGACATCTCTCTGATGTGATCTGGTTCATCAGGATTTTGTCTGTTTCACAGGACATCACCCTGACAACTATGCTGATGACATCAAGCTGACAGGACTTGAAGAGCAGGTATTTATGTATGTTAGATGTACATGCTGGACATAAAAATACAGTGGCCTGCCACTTCTGCCAAGTTTTCTGAAAGTCAAAGGCCTGTGGCATGTCAGGATATCCCCTCCAGCATAAAAGACATGGTGCTGTTCCTTGTCCATTCCCCCCCATCCCTTAGGAAGGCCTGATGCTTATTGAGCCATTTTGGATTCTGAAGACAGCATATACCACATGCTGGTGTCCTGACTCATTTATTAAGTGACCTGAAAAGAGAAGGCTCTCCAGTTAACCCAGGCCACAGAGAAATAGACTCTGGTTGATCTTGTGGGGCCCTAAGTGTCTGTGCTTAAGGCTGGAGCAGGAAAATCATAATGAAAAACTTTAGGATTTGGGGACAAAACCATGATCCTAGCAGCAAGATCATGTTCCGAGCTTAGCACTGGGCTCTGGTAGAGACTATATGCCTGACCATGGGTCACTAGATATCCTAGTGACTTCGCTGTCCATCAACTAAGTATCACATGATTCCATAAGCCACAAATTTGGACATGTCCAAAAGAATTCTACCTCCAGATGGAAGTGATGTGTACAGAACACTTGCCATACAGCCACTCCTTCAACAGACACATGAATTCCCAATGATATCAACAGTTAACAGAAGAAAAAAGTCCAGCCTAGTGCACAAATGGCTCTGTGAGATAAACTGGCCCACTCTAGAAGTGGACTGCTATGGGATAATCTACTTAAGGGATGACTCTGAATGAGTATAAAAGAGAAATCCTTTCAGGAGACAGAACTTCAAGTAAGGTATCACACTACCTCACTGGAGGTCAGGATCTAAGCTGATCCCTGGATGGTGGATAACTGGAACAAGAAAGACAGGAAATATTTATGCTCCATGTGTATGCTCACCAGACAGCACTCACTGTTAAAAACCCAGGAGATGTTGCTGAGCCCTTTCCTTCACTACCCCAGTGCTGGCCCAATGAGCCCACGAGCATAGTGGCCATGGTAGCATGGCAATGGGATCTCACCACGATATTTGTTTCAATTTGCCTACCGTGCCTCTAGGAATACCACCTCCATCCAGGGATTTACTGGAATGCTTTACCTCAGGCAATATTCCTCCAAACAACTCACTTCACAGAAAAAGAAGTTTGGCAATAGGGTCACATACCCTATACCCTAGAAGCAGTGGGCACTACAGATTATGCAACAGTAGGGTGCCTACTGGGGATCTAGCTCTGGTGCTAAGGCTGGGGTGTCATCTTGGGGGATGAGGTAAATGTTCTCAATCAATAATGAGCATTAAACAGTGACATTTTTCCAATAGCCAAAAAATGAGTCCAAGTTATTCCATTAACTCTTGCCTAGTAAATGGTCTCCTACTTTAACTCTTGCTTCCTTCCTATTCTCTTCTCCACTTTGTAGCTAATGACTCTCTCAGAGTACAAATCTGACCACATCACTCTCCACTCCAAGCCCTTCAGTGACAGAACTGAAATGAGGGGTGACTCACCTACCCAATAACTATTCCTCCCTTCCTCCTTGCTACTATGGCTCCCATTCTGTGGGGTTGACTGCTTATCCCCTACATGACACAGGAATGATCTGGATTGATCTGAGTGGTTGCAGTAAGCCTATTTTTCTCTTACTTGTGACTGAGTTAAGAAGGAGCATGCAACAAGGCACGTTTTCAGAAGCTCTTGGGAAAGTTTTCCTCGCTGATAAAGGGAGACACACAGGAAGAAACAGTCATCCTTTTCCCACTGGACCTTGTTATACCTCCATGTGGCACTTAGAACTGGGGAAGCCATTTTGGCAACAAGAGGGGAGCTAGGCTAAGAGACAAAGCTGACACATGGCTGAGTGGGAGACGTAAAGGAAACAGAGTTTAATAATGCCCAAAGTTGATGAATTAGCCAACTCTGGAACTGTTCCTCTATGTCCATCCCCTCTCTCTAATCATTACCACTTTATGTCAACTTATTAGCACCTCTGTTTTTAAACTGTTGCAGCCCCTAACTGTACTCCCTGCATCTACTCTGGTCTCCCCACGGGTTCTTCTCTATTTAGCAGCCAGAAATATTTTTTCCAAAATATAAATCTGGTTGGTCCATGGCTTTTCACTTCACTTATGATAATCCACATCTACAGTCTGGCCTAGTCTTCTTCCACAGTTTCCTCTCTTGCCACCTACCCAAGCCTTTGCCCTAAGCCACATATAGGCTTTCTTTATTTTTCGAATGTGCCCTTCTCTTACCCACCCTCACTAGTGATAGTTTGGCCCTTGTTATTTCCAGTGCTTGGAACATTCCCCACTCTCCTTTACCAATGCCCTTGCCTATGATTAGGCCTCAGTTAAAACATAATTTCTTCAAGGAAGTTCTGAACTGGGATCAGAACTGGTGGGCTGGACACACCAACCGGTAGATCCGCAAACATGTTCAGCTTCCTTAAGGGAGTTATTAAAAAAAAAATACAAATCTACCCCACGTGAGGCCTGTGCTTGGTAGTCTTCCATGGTCCTCATTTCTATACTGATTTACTCCTATTGTCTGTTACGTAAGACACTCTGGGACCCCTGTTTCAGACTCCAAAAAGCCACCTCTTAATACAGACTCCTACAACTATGTACCAGTCCTTCATGTCCTATATTGCTGTCTGAACTTAAACAGTTATTTTTGTTCTTGTTTATGGGGATTTTCCTACTAGACGGCAAGTTCCCTGAGTGTAGGGACTGGATCTGTTTTTGTTCCCCAGCAAATCCCTGGCACCTAGCACATATTAGATGCTTGATAAGTATTTATTAAACAAAGTAATAGATGCAATGATGAATGGATGGATGGATGGGTAGAGGAGAGAGGTAAGGCAAATCTTATTTCATTTCCTGTCTATAATCACATAGGAAAGGAGTCAGATAAACCTGGTAGAAAATTTCTCACCTCTTAACCCGTTAGAAACCTGTTTTCTACCTCATGACCCAAAAGGCCTGACCTTTGGTCTGCCTTCCTCCCTGCTGACACGCCAGCCTCAGCAAAGAACTCACGTTGAATTCCTCTCTGAAGAGCTTATTGTCATCAGCCATTCTCCGGTTAATCTCCTCTTCCAGCTTGTCCACGGGCAGGGGTGGATACTTCCTGTTGGTGCTTGGGGACCTGGCCAGAAGTGGCACGCTCTGGGGTTCTGCAGTATACAAGGGGGGAGGTTGGTCAGGTACTCTGGAGACCAAATTGGGGATTCTACCTCATGCACCAGGCCTCCAAGAACTAGGACTGCTTTCTTCAAGTCTTCCCTCTACCCCTTTTAGGATGGGGAAATCCCTAATTTCTTGTTTTTCTTCTCCATGAAGGTTCCCCAGGTCATTGAGGGGTGCCTTACCCACATCCTCAGTGCGGCCATTGGATAAGCGGAAAGAATTGGAATGGCTCCCAGCTTGCTTGTATTTCTTAAACCTAATGAGAAAATGTTCATAGTGAAAAAGTAAGCACAGAGTCAAGGGAGACCAATCACCGGCTTCATATTTCCACATATCAATTCAGCTTCCTAAATCTCCTTTACCAAATAAACATGCTCTTTTACAGACAGGTCCTGCCCATGCTGAGCCAACTCCACTTCATGGTGACCTAGTGCCTCTGGATGTTCCTGCTCATCCTCAGCACACTAGAATCCAACGGAGGTGCCGTAACAGTATATTCTGGCTTGTATGGCTCCTCCGTGTGGCTCCAAGTCCAGGACTCGCTGGAGATGACCACCACACCAGGTGGAGAACAGTCAAGTGGGTAGAATGCAGTGGAGGGGAGGTAAGAATATCCCTATCAAACTAAAATCCTGGTATTTCCCCAGTGCAATCAGAGAGAAGCCCAGAGCTTCAGATGGGTGGGCACAGGTCTGGCTACAAGTCTCCTGCAGAACGGTGGAGACACATCACAAACTGTAGGGGTGTGTAAGGTTCCCCTCTCTTTATCCCTGCAAAAGAACACAGGGAGCAGAGAGCAGCTTAAACCAAAGATAAGGGTGGAGTTAATCCAAATTAGCCAGGGCAGTAACTTCAGCAGGAAGAAGACAAATGCACCTCCCTTTTCTCTCCGCTGGGTTCCCCCCCTTCCTTGCCTTTTCTCCCTGTTTGAGTGTAATATCTAGAGGACCCTGGAGAAAGCCAGAAAGGGGAACTCTGTAATTCACATGGTTCAGTTTAGCACACCAGGCTCAGGGATCCTAGATCCTAGGTTTGTCCCCAACACCTCTCCCTCCGCCAACTAGAAATAGAATAAGTCTCTATTTACCATATCATCTCTAATCGGGTACTGTTGAGGGTTGCTTCAGTAAAGCTAGATCTGAGGGTCTTAAATAACCTATCAGTAATAACACAGACTATATAGCTTTTCCCTCAACCTCAAACTACCTTCCTGGGCTTTAGGTTAAACTGGAATTGGGGAACTGGATTTGGGCAGATGGAAGCAAAGGGGAGGGGCTGGGTCTTGAAGAAAACTATGTAGAGCTTTTAAACCACTTCTATGTAGAATTTTAATCTTAATATCATAAACCATTCCCCTCCATTCACTGTCCTTATCCTACTATCTTCTGGACTGTGTGGGCTTAATGAGACCCTGGGGTATTGAAGCAGAATCCAAGAGAATGCAGAAGCTTTAGCATTCTCACCTTAGCATTTAGCATGCTCACCTTAACATGTACAGAACTATGATAATAAACACGATCACTAGCAGAGAGGACAGGGCCACCATCACTGCAATAATTGGCGTCTCATCTGAAACCGAAGAGAACAAAACATGTCATTACCATTGTGTGCAATGGAGGGCTCAAGTCAGCTGCTCGGGGAAACACCCAGATAAGAAAGAAGGGCTCATTCAATGCTTCTGTAGCTGGCAGGGCATGGATAGAGTGAGAGAACATTTCCCACTGCCACCCCAGGGTCAGTGTGGGTGGAAGGGGAAAAGGTAGGTTGAGCACCTAGGATGATACACCCATCCCATCTCTGACTTATACATTTGTTTACTCTGTCTCCCTGCATTAGATTAAAAACCCTCTGAAGCCAGAGACTTTATTTCCTTCATCGCTATAGAGCCTAAAACAGTGCTTAGCACATAAAAAATACTCAAATATTTGAAAGCATGAACACATCAATCCTGATGGCAAGCTGGGTGTGCAGGGCTAACGATGTACTCTGTCCCAGGCTCAATGGGCTCCATCTAGAGGAAGATGGGAGAGGAAGGAAAAAAGACAATTTTCCTATTGTAAACCCAAATGGTTTCCTGGCACAGAGAATACTGTTCCTGATTAAAGCAAGGAGACAGTATTAGATCCTTAAGCCCTATGTCTCTAAAAATGCTGGGTACTCTTTTCTACCACTTTCAACAGCCACCTTTTACCAGGAAGGAGCCCAACTACAGCAACATCTGGCTTGAAGACAGAACAACTCCTCCCTTCATTCCACAGGGCCTGGCTTCCTAACCACCCAATACTTAGCCTCCTTTCTCATGGCAGCTGACCAGGTGCTGACTCATCCTCCTCCAGGCCCACATCTCCACCATGAACACACACAACCACTCTGAGTCTGTAACCATCTTCACCATTTCCCGTTCTGCTAAAAGGGAGGGCATGTCCCTCCCACGTAAAGGTCAATCCTATCACATATGGTCTGGATTACATTCATTACTGTCACCTCAGTGACTTGTCTTCTTGCCCAGTAACTGTATGCCAGGCTCTGCTCCAGACTCTGGGAACAGGGAAGTGATTAAGCAGACTTGTGGGCCTACATTCTGGGGGAAGGAGCAGCACACTCTTCAGAAACAAGTGAACACACAATTTCAGACAGGGACAAGTGCTACGAAGAAAAGAAGAGTAACGGGATAGAGACTGGTGGGCTGGAGGGGGTTATTTTAGAGTAGTTTGGGAAAGTCGGAAGTGCTTATACTGAGCAGAGGTCTAAATAACGTGAAGATGTAAACCATGCAAAGATCTGGGCAAGGAACTTTCTAGGCACAGGGAACAGCAAGCATAACACCCCTTAGCAGCTTGGCGGGTTCAAGAAATAGCACAACGGCCAGTTTTAGTACAGGATGTGACTGGAGAGGTGGGCAGGAGCCGGAAGACTTGGGGCTTCATAGGCCATGGTTAGCAGTGTGGATTTAATTTTGAATGTGATGAGAAGCACTATGTGACTGGAGGGCTTTGAACAGGGCACAAATATCACTGGATTTACATTCTTTTAAAAGATCAGCTAGCTAAACTGACTCATAAGCAGTAGTCATGAGGTGGGAAGTAATCCAGCAGAATATGGTGTCATAAATATAGCCAAGAAAAGAATTTTTCAAGGAGGGAGTAATCCACTCAATCAGATACTACAACAGATTAAGTAGGTGAGTTTCACAGAGAAGTGAAACTGGATTTGACGAGACAACAGCTATTGGTGACTATTTATATGGTAGAAGTCCTCACCTCAAATAAAGAGTCAGTATCTCACTGTCTTCTCTTTCCATCTTTATTTCACTCCATTTATGCTTCCTCACCAACTACTCAACTGAGACCACTCTTAAGAGTGCAGAGAGAATGAACAGCAACTGGAGGGGGATGTGGGATGGAGAGCTTTTTGTTTTGTTTTTTTAAGAGATGGGAGGTATTATACCATGCTTCTTTGTTTTTTTAAAATTTTATTTATTGACAGAGAGCCCCATGTGGGACTCGATCCCAAGACCTTGGGATCACGACCTGAGCCAAAGGCAGACGCTTAACCGACTGAGCCACCAAGGCGCCCCACCATGCTTCTTTGTTAATGGCAATTTTCAAACACACCCTGGTATGTGGCTCTCATCGGAAAATGAGCATTCAAACTGGCTAACTACTCCCTCTTCTTTGAAGAGCTTTCATCTCTTGGTTTCCACAACAAAGCACGCTTCTGATTTTCTTTCTATCTCTTGGCTGCTCCATCTCATTTTAACCTTGCTAGCTGTTCCTCTTCTAACACCAGGTCTCGAAGTGTCTGACTTCCTTGGGCTCCGTCCCCAACACTCTTCTCTGCACTCTATCTAGCTGATCTGATCAGACAGATGGCTGTAAGCACAAATGATACACTAGCAATTCCCACATTTGCACTGCTTGGTCAGACCTCTCTTCTGAGCCTATATGCCACCCCACTTAAATTTCACAGGCAATGCAAACCTTCTGTGTCTAAAGCCTTCCCCTCACCACTCAGTAGTGAACACTGCCATCCACCCTGCTGCTCAAGGAAGAAATGTGGATACCCCCTTGATTTCCTCTTACTTATCATCTATATCCAACCCAGCTGCAAGTAATATGTTTTAGGGCTGAAACCAATGCCTCCAATTTGTCTGCCTTTTTCCATTCTGTTGCCATCACTGTAGTCTCAATCCCTAGCCTCTCAACTGGATCACTGTAAGCCTGTCTACTGCCAATCCATTCTCCACAAAGCAGGCAGAGTGGTCTCTAAGAAAGCGAACCAGATCATGTTCCTCTCTTGTAAGACCTTTTGGTTTCCCAAGCCTTTAGAATGACCTAGAACATGAGCCTAGAACAACCTCCCCCACAAGCCCCTGCTCACCCTATCTCCTGCTACGCTCTCCCTGCTCACTCCGCTTCAGCCGCTGGCACCCTTCATGCTGAGTTCATTCCTTCTGCAGGCCTTCAAACATGTTATTCCATTCTGCTCTACATAGCCTCCCTCCATTCTTTGCCTGGCCACCTCCTACTCACCTAGTTCTCACTTCAAGTGTTGCTCTTCCTAAAGAGGTCTCTTCTGACTTCCTAAAACTAACTTACGATCCTAAGTTTTAGCTTCCTTAACGCTAAAATGAGTTATGTGAAGATTAAATGAGATCATCCATGTGAAGTTCTTGGCACAGTAAGCAGCACACATTATGTACTCACAGTCAGCATTAGCTGTTATCTTCCTTGTTCTTCTCACAAAACACAGTTATTGCCCTTGATAATGACTCCCACACTTTGTAATTATATATTTATTTGAGTATAGTTGATTAATGAGTGTCCTTCCTTTACACCATAAATTCCACAAGGGCAAGAATTACATATCTGCTTTGTTTCTCACCATATACCTAAAACCCAGACAGAATTTCTCACACATTTGGCACTAAAATACTAGATTAATGATCTATCACTAAATACGTCTTTGTTAAATGCCAATCACAAAGGGGTGTACACCAGGCATTCAAAGAAGGTAATTAGAGACATCTGGCTCAAGATGGGGAATTGAATCCATAATTTTACTTCTTTCTCTTCCCAAAAGTACACTGAAATGCTAGAAGAAATATAAAAATACTAATGAATGAAAAGCATATCTGGAAGGCAACAAAGAGTGGCATTAGTAGACCTGAAACAGGGATTTAAAAAAGACAATGCAGAGGGACTGACTGGACTGCGGCAGAGATCAATCAGAGCCAAAGAGCATCCAGCTGAAACACCTCAAGCTTAGAGTCAGCCAGGCCTGGGGATGAGAGTGGGCACTGGGGTAGCAGGATGGTATTTAACCAAAGGTTTGTCAATGCAGGGCCAGCACATCCACAGGCTGGGTAACAAGCTGTGGTGCCCCATCCAGCCTCAGCTAGGAAAACAGCACCCTATACAGAGTGGAGGATTTGTCAAGAGAGTGCTCCCCCGCCCCCATATAAGTTGTACGCCCCCATAAAAGTTGTGCATATATTTTTAAACTCTGTATTATGGAAAACTTTCAAACTCACATACGTGTAAAGAGAACATTACAATGCATCCCTGTGTATTTACCACTTTACTTCAGGGTTAGCACTTACATGCTTTTCATCTCTATCAGGGTTTCTCAACCTCATGATAATGACATTTTGGGCCAGATAACTGTCCGTTGTAGGGGGCTGTCGCGTGCACTGTAAAATGTTTAACAACAACCTTAGCCTCTACCTACTAGGTGTCAGTAGAAAACCTCAATTGTGATGACCAAGGTCATCTGCAGACATTGCCAAATGTCGTCTGGAGGGAAAACCACCCTGAGTTGAGAACTACTCATCTACGCCCACCCCAATGGATTTTATTTTTTTAAAATTTTGTTTATTTGAGAGATAGTGAATGAGAGAAATCACAAGCCGGGGGGAGAGACAGAAGGAGAGGGAGAAGCAGACTCTCTGCTGAGCAGGGAAGCCGACACAAGGCTCGATCCCAGGACCCGGGGATCATGACTGGAGTTGAAGGCAGACGCTCAACCGACTGAGCCACCCAGGCGCCCCTCCACTGGATTATTTTATTTTATTTTTTTTATTTTTTAAAGATTTTATTTATTTATTTGAGAGAGAGAGAATGAGAGACAGAGAGCACGAGAGGGAAGAGGGTTAGAGGGAGAAGCAGACCCCCCGCTGAGCAGGGAGCCCGATGCGGGACTCGATCCCGGGACTCCAGGATCATGACCTGAGCCGAAGGCAGTTGCTTAACCAACTGAGCCACCCAGGCGCCCCACTGGATTATTTTAAAGCAAAGCTGAGACATATCATTTCAACTGTAATTACTTCAATATGTAACATTAAGAGATAAGGATTCTTAATATAATCACAGTACCATTATCCTATTTATAAAGCAACACTAATTCCTTAATATGATTTAATATTCAGTTGCTGTTTAAATATCCCTGTCTCATAACGGTCTTTTCTGATTTGGTTAGAATTTGCATCCAGAGAGGGTCTTTACATTGCACGTGATTGCTAGGTACACTCAGCCCACAGACAGTTTCCTGGGTCAGCCCTGATGACAGAA